GCTCGCCCCTGCCATTTAGAAGGGACCTGTGGGTGTTACCTTGACAGAGGTAATCAAGTTAAAATGAGGTCATTAGGGTGGGCCTTAATGCAATGTGACTGGTACTGTTATAAAAAGGGGCTACTGGACACAGACACAGGGACGGCGCCACATGACGATAGTGACAGAAACCGGGTGCTGCTTCTACAAGCCAAGGAAACCAGGAGTAGCCACCAGAAGCCACGAGAGAGGCCTGTGAGATTCTCCCTCGCAGCCTCAGAGGAGCCAGTCCTGCCTACACCTCATCGCGGACTTCTGGCCTCCTGAACGGTGAGACAATAAATTTCTGTTGTGTAAGCCACCCAGTGGGTGGTACTTTGTCACGGCCCTAGCAAACTCATACAGTCCCTCTGCCACCTTCAGCACAACTTTTCTTCCAAAACTGCTATATTCCAAAACTGCTATATATAGAGAAGCCCTCCTGGTTCTATTTTACATTCGTCTACAAATTAACATGATTTTTAAGGACTCTAACAAAAATGGCTTCTGGCTCTATATGGTTTTAATAAGCCGGTTTAAAAGTGATGACTGCCCGGCCTTGACCCTCACGGTCCTCAAGGGCCCCCTCTTTTAGAAAGAGGAGTCCCTGGGGCGCGTGGCTGAGGTGTTCTGAGATGTAACACCTCATCGAAGTGTCCCACTTTTACAGACATAATCTCTGCCTTTTACAGGACGAAGAGGTGGAGAAAGTGGTCAAGTCGTAACATCACTGCACTGAAATCCCCCAAGGGAAGGTTTTTCAACTTAATTCAGCTCCTTTGTCTCCTAGGAGAAAAAGGAGTGGAATTGAGAACAACAAACAGGCCTGCTTGCACTCAGCACCTGCGCCACTCCCCAGCCGGCTTGCGCACAACCTGAAATCTCTAGCCACCGTCTCTCCTCCCCACCCCCACCCCACCTATCCACCCCACCTCCACTGGCTTCTTGTCCTGGACCCGCTGATGGTGACCTGAATGGAAGCCACAGAGGCTCTGCGAGGGCTCCACCTGGAAAATCTGGGCTCTTTGGACTTTCTTAACACTTTTTCTAACTGGTTCCATTCGCTTTCTAGGTTCCAAGGGAGAGAAGTCAGATCATCTAGTAATGGCCTGTAATTTAATTAGCAGGAGTATTGCCGCACTTTGGAGAAAACAAATGGATCATAGGAGATTGAAATGCTGTTTTCCCATTAGTGTTCCTATTTAAACTCCAACTGTTAAATATTTCAACAAATGTTTAAAACACCATGCATTTTTTTGGGCCAAAGGAAATAATCATCCGAGAAAAATCATTTGGATGGAAAAAGAGGCCCCTATCCCACCACCGTTCCGACATTTTCAAACACACAACCGCAGGGCAACCAAGGACAAGGGCTTCAGCCAAGTGGCTTAGAGGCCACTTAGGGCACAGACATAGGGTCACGTGGGTGATGCATTGAAGGCTGCAGTGTTACTTAAGGCCCTGAAGAGTCAAATGCAAACCGAGAGAAAGGAGGGCCTAACGGTGACTTCTGCCTCCCCTGGACCCCAGCCGAGGTGACCACCCTCAGAGCAAGTGACCGTACGTAATGGGTCCCTCGCTGCCTTAGGGCACAGCTATGTGGTGATGACAGTGCAACCTGTGTGTTATGTTACAGGTGTTCCTCCGACTTTCATTAAGCTAGGTGTCCCACCTGGGATGTCCCACCTTCTCCAGCTGCTGTCCCAATTCTATCTGTTTTCTAAGACTTGGGTCAAGGTCCACTTGATTCTTTCAGGTGTTCATGTAGCAAATATTTATTGAGCACCTACTGTGTGCCGGGCTTTGTGTAGGCTCCAGGAATACTGTGAGGAGCAAAAGGGACACAGTCCTTGCTCTTAAGAAACTCATAGTCTAGAGGAGGGGAGAGACATTAATCAAATAACCCCTGAACACATGAAACCCTGCAAATGGGACAAGCCCCAGGATACAGAATGTGCTGTGACAGCCTGTCCTGGAGGGATGTGACCCAATGGCAGAGGTCTATGAGGAACTGACACTGCCTTGGGATCTGAAGATATATAGACATAAACTTGGTAAAAAGAGGAGGGGAGAACATTCTGGAAGAACAAACAGAATGTGCACAGCTCTGGGAGCCCA